ACATTCAGCATCAGTTCAATTATCCAGGAGGAAAAAATTTATCGCATTATGAAGGATTTTAAAACTGCGTCAAGCGTCAAATTATTTTATGCATTTTCAAGGAATGAAATTCACTGACGATGACTTAATGTGAATTTAATTCACCATTTATTGTAATAAAAAAATACGTGGGGACGCTTTTCAGAATGTGGAAAGAAAAAATTTCTAATTGTGTGAAAAAAAAAATTGATTTATCCCCCTGAAACCACAGAATGATCAATTGAAAGCCATCATCACACCATAAAACCAATCCCCAAACAAACATTTTCACCGTCTTCCGCCAAAAATAAGAATAAAAATTGAAACGATAAAGAGGAAACGGGAAGTCATGGGCGTGGCAAAACGGTGGGTATTTTTTGAGGTGAAATTTCCACGAGAGATAGTAGAAAAGAGAGTGAGAGAGAGTGCAACAGTACAAAGAATACAACACGCTTGAAAAGCCATTCCGGTAAAAGTGTTTCGCATTGCGCTCTCGATCTAGCTGGAGCCGCTTCTTCTTCACATCCCCATCTCTCTCTATTCCCCATTTTATTCATTTTTTTTATATATTTTTTTTCAAGTTAACCCATACTCTCGACATTGTTGGCTGCTTGTCGGAGGAAGGAGTGAACGGGTGAGACACGGGTTTGTGCAAAAAAAAAAAAAAAAAAAACCGGTGGGTGATAGAACCGGGAGTGGGACCGGGGAGTGGGAATACGAAAAACTTTGCAGAACACATCGTGAAACAGAAACAAGCCCCTGGAGAAAAATTCCATCTCATTTCAAAACGCGCATTTTTCCTCCCCTCTGGAGTTCAGTGTTTTCACGTTTATTCTCAGTGAAACACTCGACGACGTGTATGTGTGACGTCAATGAGGGAGATATAGAGAGGGTGAGGAAAAAATGGCGCTGTATTTATCGCACTTTATCCGGGATTTCGCCAAGGCTTAGGCAAGGAGTTGGGTTTGAAATTTTTGTAGGGCATCCTAGTTGCTTTTCCTTTTTTCTCCTTTTATTTTGGTTGAGGGGGAGATGGCCTCCCCTCAATCGCCTCCATGAGGGCCTTTGGCGTGTTTTTGCTTGGATGTCTGGGGCATTTTTTCGTGGGGGATTTGGGAGTCGAGGGAATAGTCTGTCGAATCAATTTGAAATAATGGTGGAGTTCAATTGAATTATTGGCATTGTAGGAATTAATGGGACTTGACATGGGACTTTTTTTAAATCCCTGAGAAAATTGACGAAAGACTCGAATATTCTCGATGACTAAAATAATTCCAGTACGAGGAGTTAACTTGAGGCGTTTTCGTTCCACATTATCGAGTGTCGATGATAAAGCGAAAGAAAATACTTCGAAGATGGGAGCACAGACACTGATACCCTTGGACGGGATTTGACGTCGATAATGTGAGGTATATCGTCCAGCTATCTCAACAGCTTATCTCCCGTAACATCTCATCCGCAAAGTGATCATTATCAGCCCCACTACAACGAGTTATAAAATTTAATACAGGTTAGAGGAGGAGGAAAAACCGAAATTTTAATGACATTCACATTAATTGAGAACACCATAAACGCTCGGTGGAACATCAAATATTAATGATGCAATGAAAAACCGGAGAAATTTCCGATTTCAAAGGCTACGACCCCTTTTCGTTAATTAGCTCTCTGGTTATACAAAGTTGATGGTTTTGAGTCAAATTTATTTAGATTCTCCTATTTATAGACCATCCTCGATGTTGAAATGATTTTATAATATAAAATTTATAACTTCCGCTCGAATGAAGTATATTCTTAAACTTATTTTTTGTGCGCAGCCTAATTCAATCAATTCAAGCAATAATATAATAAATAAATGAAAATAAGAATAAATATTCAAAAATGCGGGAGGGGTAGACTAAAAATTATCCCCCTTCTATTTTTTTTTTTTTTTTTTTTGAGTAATTCCATGGGTTAGCTCGAGTATGGAATTATTCAGAGCCCCTTAATTAACGTTTTGGCTTCTCCTGGTAGTTTTGACGCAAGCAGAAACGACGAGAAAGAGGAGAAGAAAGGAGGATAAAAGCGGGGAGAGGCAGGTGTTCGACCTGGTTTGGGTATATTCTGGGCATTCTGGGCGATGAAAACGTTGGAAGGATGTTTTCGAGCTTGGGCGCGTGGCTGGAATTTAAACCGCACACCCAATGAAGTAGGATACCATCACCGTCTGCCTCTACAAAAGGTATAAACTACTATTTTCGCTCCTTCCAAACCGGAGACGCCTCTAATACCTAGCCCGTCATCTTTTTTCCATTTTTTTTTCGTCGGAAATTAAAGGGTGAATCTTTCGAGAAAAATTTATAATCATTTTTTAATAATTGGGATGGGAATCATGGCTGGACTATCATGCTACATCGGGGAAGTCAAAGGCCTGTAATTTGGGGGGTCGACTGATTCTTGCGAAATTCGTGAACCGATTCGTATCGATATTGATTGAAAATTAGTGGAGAAATCGGCTGGGGTTGACCTGCTGTGATGGATGGGATGAAAAGGAGATCGGATATACTTGAGTTAAGCATATATTTATTTCGTGGAGAAATCAAATTAAACCGACAATCAATGGGAATTGTTTAGTCCAGGTGAACAATTCCAGGAAAAAATGAAGAGACGATATTTTTTAGGGATCGGAAGTGTCGGGCAGCTGCATTGGATACCAAGAAAATGTCTGCCTCTCAGGAATTGTTTTCTCCAATTATCTTCGAAAATTCTACGATGACGAGTTAAATTATTGCCCTGATAATAATTGTAATCTCAAGAACGAGAGTAATAAATGTGAAATTTGCCGAGTGATCGCTGCAATTCGCTGTGAAAAAAAAAAATCGGCAAATTTCGGAAAATTTCGGGAGAAATTTTGGGCAGTGTAATTTAGGCTATTTGTCGCGTGAATTGAAAAAAAAATAGTGGGATATATTTTGACCTCTATTTACAAGCTGCCATTCAATTCTCGTCCACGGAAAAACTTTACGAGGCAACCACCGGTCGAATGAGACTCGACAAACCCCTGCAGTACCTGTTGTACAGAATGAACGATTTGCAAGAACTACATAAAACCCAGTGGGGGTAGCACCCCGAAACGAATCGAGACGTGTTGCAGAGAGTAGACGGTATACCGAAGAGAGAAAACTGGGGAGTTTCCAATTTGAATGTACTTCGAAGCGCGTTAGGGAGTGCAGAGAAAGGGAAAACCCAATGGTTCGTTGGGTGAGTGCAAGTGGATAGAAGAAAATAAAAATAGAGGTGGAATACGTAAAAAGCCCTGGGTTATACCTTCGGTTGGGAGAGCACCTGCCAGGTTTAGAGTCCATCTTCTCGGCATTTTTTTCCCCTTATTTCTGTCGTTACTCCTAAACTCGTGATTTTTTCCAGTTTCAATGAATATAAAAAAAAAATTATCGACCCTTTATTCGAATCGGTGACTTGTATTGGTGAAAAATAAGACATGGAATCCATCGGGTTTGGGATCTAAAATTTTTTTACCCATGAAAATTATTAGTGAAAGGAAAATGAAAAAAAAAAACCATTTGTTGCCACAATGAAAATGAGTTGTACTGATTAATCTGGGAACAATAAATGTTGCCGTTGGGTTGAAATCAATTGTTGCAGGCGGAGTACCAGATTTTTGCGTTATTTTTTTATCCCCCCAGGTAAAAAGGAGGATTATACGGGGATTAATAATATTAATCCAGAGGAGTTATGTGTCTTTTGTGCGGCAAGGTTTCTCCAGTGGTTTTTCATCTACCTACCGGATTATCCTTTCTACACGTGACGGTATGATGGACGTAACAGCTGAGGAAAACATGCGCGCTTGACTCCTAGGTGAAACGTCAATTCGACGGCTAAACTGCTCTTGACGTTTTTCAAGCAATACTTTTGTCCGGGTTTTTCAATGGAATTGAAGACAGGTCTGTAGTTTTTTTTTTCGTTGTTTTTGGAAATCGGATTAATGGGATTGATGAATGGCCCGAGAGAATGGGGATTGCAGTGGAGTCGACGGAGTACTGAGAGAAATTTCCGTTTCCGTTTGCTCCAATCAAATTATCAGCTGACAAAACGCTTGAGAGATAACGGGATTTAATGCTCTCTGAAAATGAAAAAAAAAAAAAAACTCATGGATAACCGTATTTTTTTTCAGCTCATATCTCTGAATTAAAGGAACATTCCAAAAATTTTGCGAAAACCCCAATGTCTAAAAACGTATTCCGTTCTATTCCACCCCATCTTACCGGAAATAAATCCAAAAAAATAAAGTGGACGTGAATCCGTGGGAAAACGGTGAAAAGTCGACAAAAGAATCGATCGATCGAACATGGAATGGACGCCGCGTGGCTAGAGTATGTATACTATATTCTCCGCTTATTTTTATTTTCTACCTGGCGTTTTTTTTCCTCCAGTCTTTCGCACACTGTGTGTACAATACGGCAATACGCCGCTGAGTGCTTTCTCCAACTGTGCATAGCCACCGGATACTGAGGGACTGTCGATTTTGCACTAGCATATCCCCCCGGGATAGTAAAAAACCATCGAAACGATACAAAACGCTTCCATTCAAATTCCAGTTGAGAGTTCTGGAACGTCAATTAATAGTCACGTCGTTATCTCGTAAATTGGGGCATCAAGATCGGATTATTATTGCGGTATTTGGAAGCGAACACATTTCACCGAGGGAAAGCCCCAGTTTTTATAGAAAATTCACCAAAGGAGAATAATATTCTCCCCCACATTTTCCTGCCATATTTTTGACTAGTGTCTGTACAGTATAGTATCATTCTAATTAATTCAATTACCATATGAAAAATCCATAATTATTCCTCCTAACGCCTGGAATGGAACTATTTCTCATCAAGTACCTGATCAATCAAATTTAACCCAGCCTATCAACACCTGACTTCAACTCGGTAGAATTCCTCTGGTCTTTTTTAATCGTCCGACTCACCGTTATCTTTCAAATAATCAAAAATCACCGAAGGCACCGGCAAGACCAGACCAGCATCGAGGATAAGGTCAGGCCTTCAACGACGCGTGGATGGACCTCAGCCTCAGGTAAATCCCACGGAAAAGGCAGGTTACTTTGAGGCACTCCTGAAATGAGAAAGGAAAAGGTGAGTATGCGTTTGGTTAGTATTCACGGTGAGACACGATGACAAGTGAAGAACCCCGTGGCACGCCAAATGAGTTTCTGTATTTCTGCTTCTTCGTTTTAACTCCCTCTACCCCCCACCTGAAAATCTCACCTATTTTCCTATTCGTAAGTTCTGGGTATTCTGTTACCGTTTTTGCTCGTTTTGTTGCTTAACTACTCATCCGAATTTTGGAGAGTACCGGGAGTTACAAAACTCCGACATAACTCGTTCCTACTCTCTATTTATCTTTTAGGGTGCATCAGGTTTCTCGAATATATCACTGAAATTTGGTGTCATAGGAATATTAACTCAATTAACAAAAACATTAAGGATATTCAAGGATCTTACAGTGTTTGGCATGCACTGACGATGAAATTGTTGCTGTTAATTAAATTAATTAGTTGCTTTCAAGTGGAGTGGTGTGATGTGGTTATAGACTGGTTCTCGACTAATTATCGATCAAGTTAGTCTTATATTTCACTGTGCGTTTATGTTGTTATTTTAAAGATAATTTTTCTGATGTCTCGAATAATGTCATGATATACAATATCGTACAGCGAATAATTACCCTCAGACAATTGACTGGTAATTCACGATCTAAACATATGCAAACTGATAGTTGACGGGATTGAGGCGGATGCGACTCGGTGGAGAAAATGGCAGGAATACGTACAGAAATGGATGGTGGGATTGGCCCCGGATGACTTGGTGCCGAGTAGAGTCAACGATCAAACGAGAAATCGAGGAGTATCTCAGTAAATTGGAGTTGGTGTGAAAGGGCGGTGGGTGGGGCAAATCTATATAGCAATCGTTCATTCACGTGTCTCATTTCGTTCGCCGATGGATCCACAAGCCATTGTTAGTATGAGAAGCAGTAGATTGTACCAGGAGAAGAGGGAGTTCTAGGTATCTGAGACTAAGAGGGCTTTGTGTTCAACGAATATTGCCGGCGTCATCTCGAATGCTATCGACGCTCAGTTTTGGATTTCAAAGGAGTATCAATAATCGCAGATGCACCGCCTAACAGATAAACCGATTTATTGTCGAGAGAGAGAGGGATTGATGGAAAAAGTGTTTTTATTGCTTTCTTCAGAGTGGAAAATCAAAGGGAAAAAATTCTCCAAGAAATTAAATCCTGTGATACATCTTTCTGTTTAGGATAATTAATTATTGGTGATGATGAATTACTCGGATTGTTGAAATCAGAGGCCTTAAACCGGAATTATTGTTTCGATGTGAATCACTGGAATTCTGGTAAGTCAATTGAGTTTCACCATCGGAATTTCTTTCCTTGAATTTTCAGCGACAACAATTGAAGCTGAAACCCTTTAATTCCAGTATTTTCAAAAAAAAAAAAAACAGATCAACTCTGCAATCATGTATCTGTCCCCTCAATTTTCTCTCCCGATAATTCGATAAATCGTATATGTCAGTAATAAACTAGAGAGTAAAACAATTAACCCAATTTCATTGTTTTTTGATTGCTCAATCTTGCAACGATTATTGCCAGTTGATTCATTGCAGGATGTTACATTCAAGGCAATGTGGAATGAGTAAACGTATCTTGGAATGTTGTTTGCTGACATCATAATACGGTAAGGTCTGAAAACACGGAAACTCAACGGTTGAAATCGAGTGTCTTTCAATTGAAATCATTCCATACTACAAAAAAAAACAGAGCTAAAGACAAAAGAGATTTATTCCACTAAAAAAAAACCGTGTGGAAATGATGAAATTTGGTAATAAACAATTTTATTTAATAAACTTGGAGAGATTGAATTTTTGTGTGATGACGTTTTGTCGAAAATGAAATTGTTTTAGAGGGAGAATACTTAACTAAATAAATGTACGTTATTAAACTAATTACCGCACTCACTGAATTAGCATAAGTTCTGAAGCAAAAGGGCTGTAACGTAACACGAGGATCAAAGGGCTGAATTACTCTTGGAAAATTGACGTAACATTTTGGATGAACTGGATCGTTTCGGCGGAAATGAGATGCCAGTGAGATTAGTAGTTCGCCAAAGGATCTCAAACTAGTCCGATACTGATGTCTCAGTTGTCTACCCTAGCCCTTTCCACTCACCTATTTCGAGTTTATTGTCACAATTCCCTCATTGGGAGTCAGCTAATTTGTCTTGTGGGAGTCAACAATGGAGGAAGCATTGTTCCATAATTGACACTGGCCCTGTCGCTTCGAAATTCTCCACCTGTCAGCGACCCTGTAAAAAAAATGTGTAAAAATCGAGATCGAAATTGAAAATGAATACAAACGTAAAATATTATTTTCAATCATCGGCTTCTGTACCTCTTTAAAAATTGTAACTTGAATCCCGCCGTCAACACTCAATCAACACATCCATAAACTATAACCTCACATTTCGAAGATAATCCCATTAGGATTCCCTCCCTTGAACCTTCAAAAACCAAAACTCCCATTACACTCAATATCCGCCTGAAAAAAAAAATCCGAAAAAGATTTGAACCCACCCTTAAGCCCTCCAATTTCATTCCAAGAGGCTTTGCAACTCGCCGAACCTCCGGGTGCATTCCCACCCTCTCCCACCGACGATAAACTACGGTCCGATCTTCCAAAAAGATTCTCTCTAATTTTCTCTCTAATTTTCCACCCCAATCTCCAAGATTTTCTACCGAACTAAAAGAAAATATTTTTTATTCCACCTCCCACCCCATCTCCTGGAGACTGATTGAAAAAAATTCAAGGATATTATTCGCCTTTCATTTGTTTTTTCACGTCACTGATGGCAGACCACATTTTTTTTTTGTAAACTGGGTTGATCTCTTTGAATCAATATTGCTCTTTGGATTTGTCGATGTGTTCTAGCAACGATTTCGGATGAATATTTTAACGAAATTAGATTTTTAGTGAAGATTTTATTCATTTTTCCATAAATATAATGAATATATCCGCGTTCGTGTGTTTCCGTGGGCGTTCGGGTGCTTCGTTCCCTCTGCGTCGCTGGCGACTCGTGGGGACTCGGCAGAGGCTGCAACGCACTTCAGTCAGCAGTCGGCCGCTGTGCGAGACGTACGTGTCGGCGATTTCTCCCCCAAAACCTTCAAAGTTTCCTCATTTTTTTTTTCATCTAAACAAACAACTAGAATTACGCGATTCTTTTCCAATATCACACGTCGTCAACAGTGTCGCTAGGAATCAATAATTGATTTGCTCAATTAATCTATTTGACTAAGAATAACTGAGTGATAAACACACGTGAGTGATTCAAGTGAAATCATTTTTTCCGATATGTGCCGTGGATTTTTCCAGTGATTATCGAAATTTTGGTTGTTGTTTGGCAAAAACGAATGATTTTTCGTGATGTCGCGGGCTAGGAGATGAGGTTATGATCCTCGGTGGAGATACGTTTCAATCACATCTGTGTACTTGAAATTTGTGTTTAGTTTTTTTTTTTTCAGTTTATTTTTTAGTGGAATTAGCAAGTGATTTGAGTTTAAAAGTTGTCGCGACGGTCGGTCAGTGAATGATCAATTTCTATTTAATTTTTTTCTCCGATAATGATTGGTTAATTATGGATGCGAGAGCCTCGAAGGATACACCTGCATTTTGGGTGAGTTATTAATATTTTTTTTTAAATATTTTGTTTAACCCATTTCTGCGGTCTCGTGTTGTTTTCCATTATTCTGCGGTGGTAGGAAAATGGGAGTCGATTGTTACCCCAGATGCATAGGAATTCGATTCGTTTTCGACGTAAACAATTTTTAATCGCGTAAATAATTATTGATATCGCTCGAACAAATAAAGATAAATGAATTCATTTCGAATGCATAGAGCGTTAATAATCTCGCAGTATGCGTGATATAAAAAAGGCGCAAGTCATCTCTTTCCACTTTTTAAAAAGCACCGAATATTCAGTGGAAAAAAAATTTCATATCACATGCATTGACTTTTTATTGACAGACGTCACAACCCAGTGATGATATTGAATTAATGAATCGAATGCGGATGCCTGAGAAATGGCTTTGTTGACATTTTTTTTTATCTCCATTGCGACAACGTCTATCGATTCATCAATTTGATCGTTACCACATTTTTTTCCTATCTCGACTAGTTTTTCATTTTAATTTAAAGGGGATATCTTAATTGGATATGTATTAGCATATTACCAATTTGTGCTTTCGAAATTAATGTGGTAATTTTTGTGGCTTTATCTCGGTGAAAGGTGTGATGGGAATTATTTTTCCGTTTGATAACTCAATTTTAGAATGTGCTCGTTAACCTTAATTAAACATTTGGGGAATTTACCGGGGTGGACAATGGCCGTGAATAATTTTACGTGGTACGGTTGAATGTTTGGGATGGCGAACATATTTGTTGGTTATGAAGGGTAATGAAGGGTGTGAGTACATGTGTATGAATAATTTGCCATTTGCGGTATCTGTTGGGAAATTTTTGCACGAAGGAATTGATTACCGAGTGCTTTAGGATGCTTTGATCAGTAATTATCAAAATTTTCCATTTTTATCGCAGGTCTATATTACATCCATATAAAAATTCAGCAGAAAAATTTCCCAGCAATTGTCACTGATTTTTTATACGTTGATTTGGACGCTCACATAATTTCTGGTCAATAATTATCTCCATGACTCATTCACATTCCAAATCGCGATAACTTCCAGCTTTATGATAATACTATTTTAAAATGGCGTTGTGAAATCGTCGAGAAATTGATTGGAAAATCTTTAATCAGATTTTATTGCATTTTTGAATAATCTTTGAATGTGTCGTAGGGTTAATATGGCATTGAAAAAATGATGACTTGAAAAATTAATGTGACAGATCGTGATTTTTGCATTAATATGAGCGCGCGTGACTTGAAAACCTATTCATCACACCTAGCATACATAATACAATAGTACCACCTATGGTCTGTAGGCAGATATGTTGGCGAAGTGCATAATGTATGTGCTTTTGACTCTATGCGGAGAATAATACGATATCGTGTGTACAACAGATGTTTTAGTACTGGTTTTTCTTCTCGGAATGAAACATAAGATGACTATCGAGTGTTCAGAAGCAAAAAGTCGTCGAGACTCGCTCTTGAATTGTCTCGTGTTTTATTTTTCACCGACTCGTAATGTTCAAGATCATCATCATTATTTTCTTGCACTCTCGTAAAAATTCGCAACGACTGAGGATGTGGGTCAAAGGTCGATTGGATGACGTTAAAAAAATCGGCGTTGAGTGGCGATGCCCTTGAAACTCGATCGTAAATAAGTCGAGACATTTGAATAAACATTTCATGAGATCTGAGGGGAAAAAGTGATCTAACTCGTTATCCACCAGAGATACGAGGATAAATGTCAGGTCTTTGGATATTCGCCCTGCCAACCTAGAGATTTTTACCGTGATTTTTTTTACTGTCTTACACTTTTGCGGATATTCGCATTTGAGAATTAACAATTCATCATCATCTCAGATTTCCGTGGTGAAGGTACCTCCGTGAATAATAGAGGTAGAGAAAAAGTGTTGCTACAAAAAATCTTCGTCTTGTCGAGCCAACCATTTTTTACCTTCACCATTTTCTTCCATCTTCCTAATTAAGGAGCATATAGGCAGTAAAAAAAAAATAACAACAAAGAAAATAAATTGTTTATCGGGTTCACATTTACATTCGTTAGAGCTTTCCTATTTAACAAAATTTTTATCTCCGGGTATAACTACATACATGTCACACGAAAAATCAATCTTCCAGAATGTGATAAATTTCGTTGGAAACTTTAACGTGTCTCCAATAGCTATAGATGTATATAGTTGAAAACGGCTGTTTTCTTGCCCCCGAGTCAATGCCCTTGAGACTAACACCCAAATAAACACGCAGAGAGGCGGAAGCTTACGTGCTCGTGAGTCTGTACCCTGTATTACAGTATTCGCCCCCTCCAACCAAAATGACAAGCCCCATATTCTCTCATTTCTCTCCCTCCCCTTTCCTCCTTCCTCTCCCTCAACTCCTGCGTTAATTAGGTACGCGTGATTAATGCAACTGGAGGGAGAATTACGGAATAGAAAGAGAAATACTGAAACACAACGTACGTGACTCACCCAAACCGACGACCTATACTATACCTCCCATCGCCTCGGGATTTATCCAGACTTTGACTTGTTCCTTGTTTTCTCTTTGTTACTTACCGTTGTCACTTTGTTTGTAGATTACTTCAGGTGATTCAAAAGGATTTAACAGGATTCATGAAATTCTCACGCCCCAAAAAACTCATTTAATTGACAATTGGCGATTTTTATAAATCTCAACTCCATGCCCTAGAAAATTTCTAACATCAAAACGTACAGGCCACTCTCTAACGTGTTCTGTTTGCTATTTATCGTGGAAATTAATTATGGAGTGCAAATTAGTTATTGCTTCGTACCACGTTAATTAATCGGTGTAAATGGTTTCAGGAGTAGGGTTTTGGGATCGGATATTTCTCAGGCTTTCCAATGAAACTGACCCAATTGCTGTATCTCTTGGTGTTTTATGGATATCGACGATTAGGTTTTAACTGGATTATCTGAATTTTTGGATTTTTATAAAAATTGGGGATTTTGGGGTGATAATTTTATTCTGTCGGATGTTTGAGCGGTTTTGCTCGACATGGCAATTCTTGGGGCGATAAAATCTCAGAGAGAAGACCTTTCTCTTGGCAGTTCTTTCGATTCATACCTCGGAGGGTCCCACCGGGACGGCCTATAATACAAACGCGTCTATACGCAGACCGGTATTACCACTTCTTTCTTCTTTTTATGGTCTTATTCCGTGGATTTCTCTCTCTTAATTTTTTTTTTATCCTCCATTCACTTCGATTTATAACAGACTCACCACCGAGAAACTTGGAGTATTTCAGAGTTGGTTTAAATCATTATTTCATTTTTATTATGTCATTTGTGGAATTTTTTTTTTTCTTGTTACTCACCTTGGAAATTTCTGGTACGTCGTAATGATAGGAGTGTGGGTTCACCCTGCGGCATTCGAAAGCCGGCAAAATTACCACTTCCAAGCCCCACTTGGCGATTCATTCAAATTTCATAGTTCTCGACATATTCTCGGCAAACAAAGTTTCTTATCAAATATTTATCTTTCATTCATCTGTGTAAATAATTGATCAAAAAGTTGGGCAATATTCTTCGTCAGGAACTTTCCATTCAATAAATCTCGGGAATCTCTGTTGCTCCTTCGATGTAATTTCAAACAATAAAGTGAACCCTCAACGATTTCATAGGGATTTCTCCATAATTAATGAGTGTATAGAGAAATGTATCGTAATGTATTGTTCACAAAAAAAAATAGTACTGAAAAGTCAATATTTGATAAAGTAATCCAAGAGGAAATGGCCTTCAATAAATATAGAAATCCCGTATAGTGACTAATTCAATTTTCCGTAGAATCGGGTGTTATCGAACTGCCGGTACATGTGATGATAAATGGGATTAGATTTCCTGATGTCACGTATCGTAAAAAAAAAATCAAAAAATTGTCAACAGATTTAATTTATTTGAATCGATTAATTTAATTGAATCACTGTACGCACAAATAATTGAAATGCCATTCACTATCAATTAATTATCCCCGACTCCAACAGACCATAAATTATGAATTCCCACCCAATGATAATTTCATGTCTCATTTCATAACAGAATTTATCGTTTCCTCAATTCTTAAAAAAAAAAAACTGTTTCTGATGATAAATCGCGTTTGAACGATAAATCTCATATCTAGAACACTCGATTATATACCCCTTCCGACAATTTCCATCTCTCTTCTACGCTTTTCTTTGACGAAAGAATGTTTTTGTGCGAAAAAAATCGGCGGGGGAGGAGGTG